AAACAGCACTGAAAAAAGTGAATTATGACCAGTTTTCACACTTATGACTGTGGCAGCTTCCCTGTGGTCATGTGATTTATATTCAAATGCTTGACAACTGACAACTGCTCACCTTTTCCAATATTTTAACAAGGAAAGTCCATGGGGAAGCCAGATTCACTTAACAACTGTGTTACCAATTTAACAACTGCACTTTAAAAAGCTCACTTTTAGTCTAACAAAGGGAAGGACTAGGGATGGCATGATAGCAGTGGTCCAATATTTGAGGGGCTGCCACAAAGAAAAGGAGGGGTCAACCTGTTCTCCAAAGCACCTGAAGTCAGAACAAGAAACAACGGATGGAAACTAATCAAGGAGAGAACCAGCATAGAACTAAGGAGAAACTTCCTGACAGTGAGGACAACTAATGGAACAGCTTCCCTCCAGAAGTTGTGGGTGCTCCATCTCCGGAGGTTTTTAAGAAGGGATCAGACAACCATTTGTCTGAAATGGTATAGGGTGTCCTGCTTGAGCAGGAGGTTGAACTAGAAGATCTCCAAGGTTCCTTCCAACTCTGCTATCCTGTTACACTAAATAATTTCAGACAGGTAAATCATGGGGAAAAAGACCCCCAATTCAGGTAGATCACAGATGCAAAAGTGAATTTATATCTTGGATTCCAAAAAGATGTCCTCTTGGGTTTCTGAATTTATCTGCCTTGCAATTTCTCAAAAAAAATTCTCTCCTATAAAAATAAACCTTTTTTTGCTATACTTTCATTTTTATTCTTTTTCAAAATATTTCAGAAACTGATCTAACCTCAACCAAGGAAGCTGATTATCTTTTCCATTATTATTATTATTATTTGCACAGCCCTGCAGATTATATCAGGTTACAAAATGACCCTATTTCAAGATCTGTCTTGCAATTGTCCACTTCTGCACCCTTATAAATAGGACATAAGCCTTCTTTTGCACCAGAGGGCCTTAATTTTTCATCTCCATAACATAATATGGCACTTAAATTGTCATAAAGGGATATTTTAGAGTCTTAAGAAACAAAATCCAGTTTATCATATGTGCAAAAGAATCTAGTCCCTACAAGATTTTTGCTAGATCATTTCTTAAACTCTCGTCTCCTAAAATGGAGTTATTAGTTAAATAACACAGCTATTTAAGATAATTAAGCTGCTACCACCTGCTCTTGAAGGGATAGATTTACCTGGAATCTGGATGAGGCAAGACTTTGAATTAAATGGATCCAGTTTCCCCAGTTAATCCAGGTGACTGTTTCAAATATTTTGCAGTATGCTGCACTGGTGTAAAGCCACCACCAGAATAACAATAAATAAAAGTGTTCCACTTTAATAAGTACAACAAAGTGATTACTGAGTAATAAAATAGCTGAACTAAGTTATAGAAATTCTAGATATTCACACAAATGCTAGGAATTACTAATAAGCAAAACTGACCAGCAATACATTGCTGAGGTAAAAAAAAAAAAGTGAACAAATGTAAAACTAATCAACTGACCAAAACACCAAAACAGCACTTAAAAAGAATACAAGTAGTCCTCAGCTTACGGCCTTTACGACCTAGAAGACCTCAAAGTCCTTCCAACTATGTTATTCTATCCTATTCCTTCCTTAAATTTACCTCTCCTAGTTCTCAGTTCAAAAATTCCAAAAGATTGTGGACTGATTTTATGTATAATTCTCCAGCTTCTATCACACAATAAAGTAGCTTATTTGAATCAATCATCTCTAGAAGGGCTGCTTTCTCTTTCAGTAGATGTTTCAAGCAGAGGTTTGGCATTTGCTGTAGATGCTTTAATCTGGATTCACACACTGGTTGGAATTTATAGCTTAAATCACCACCTCCAATTCTGGATTCTAAGAAAATTCTTCAGATAACTACAGCACATTTTAATCTAGAATGTGTTATGATTAAAAACAAAATGCCAATTCTATACAGCTGCCAAGAAACCATAACAAGGGTGACAATCTAACATACGTTATAAAAACATTGTTAAAATTGTTTTGGTCTCCGAATCAAAGGACAATATGATACCATTCCTGTTCCTTGTACAAAATCTGACGCGACTGGTTGATTAAATCTTTTGTTAATATTGCAAAGGACAACGTTCTCCACTAAAATCTATGGAGATTCTCAGTCATCCAGGTCATGGCTATCCTAAAGATACTTTTTTCAAAAGGGTTTTTGAAGGGTTTTTCCTTGAAGACGTTTTACTTCTCACCCAAGAAGCTTCTTCAGTTCTGACTGAATGGCAGAGAATCGAAGGATTTATATTCCCTGCAGTCACCTGGTCATTAGCCCTCTTTCTGAGAGTTGTTGAGGCCACTTGGAGGTTTATCTGTTTCCTCAGAGTCACTTGAATAGTTCAAATGGATGTGGAACTGTGGAATTTGGAACTGCTGAAAGGACTGTGTGGTAAACAGTGGAGAGGTGGCATCATAGCCTTCCCCCTCTGCTGAGAGAGGACCATTCATTCTTAATGTAGATGGCCTCTTTGACCCTTCTTTCAAACCAGAAAAAGTACTAACAACCAGATGACTGCAAGGAATATAACCTTCCATTCTCCACCATTTATTCAGAACTGAAGAAGCTTCTTGGATGAGAAGCAAAACATCTTCAAGCAAAGAACAAAGTCCAGCTGACTTTTGAAAAAAGCACTTTTGCGATCCTCCACTATGTTTGAAGGCAGACAACTAGCTTAAGGGACAATACTTTGCCATCATTTCTTGGTATCCGCTGTCTGAAGCAATTACTATATTCTGCTTCATGATAGGACATGAAGTTGAAATTGGCAATGGACAAGAACAATTATTGACTCAATTGCTCAGCTTGAGCATCACAATGAGAAGAGCACAACAATTCTCAAGTTGAAGCTTTGGGGAACCATATTTAATTCAGAAAAATGATTTGATCCAGAATTGATTATTTGACTCAAATAATTGAATTCAACTGATTTCATTTAAAAAGGTCAATTATTAAAGACAGGGCTTTTTTTCATGAGACTTTCAAAATCAGCCAATTGATTTGGGGGCATCCAATTCAATCTAAATTGGCAGTTAATTTGTAGTTTCAATCAAACCATATTTGAACTGCATTTCCAACAAATCTTTACATAATCCTATTGTCAAAAAACAAAAACCCAAACATCTCCAATCTGACCCAATGTCTAAATTTTGTTTCCCCTTTAATTCATTATTATTTTTTAATTGAGAAATAGAATGTCAAGCAAAGTAGAGCCCAAAGATTTACATTGAGCTTTATTAGCTACTGTATATTGTCAGGAAAATAAGAAGTTAATATACAGAATCTTGGAAACGAAATAAAGCAAAACTCTGGAACTCATTTATGAGATAATTCATTAAGCTAACTATCTAACATTCTGAATTTAATTACTATATTACCTTTCTCAAAATATAGGACTAAAAAGCTAACCTTTTTGTAAATAATATTCTGCTTGTCATTAATGTACTAAGATAATTTCTTTCCCAGGCCTATAGTTAACCTCTGAGATCTCTTTTACTTATATTACCAAAACAAGCAAACAAACTTATTGTTCACCTCTTACCTAAATTGTCATCCCCTCAAAAGTTGCTGCAATAGCTACTGTTAGGAAGCTAATTGGCTGCCCTTAGTTTTAGCAGTCTTAAGCCCCTTTTTTTCAATTATCCTAGTAACTTCACTATCCAATTGCTAATAAAAAGCCACCTTCATAGAACACCTTTATTCACATTTGGTAAAACCTACAGATATCTCACAATGCATGCTAAGCTTGATTAATATTAGTTTTCGTTTTTTTAAATTTGGTTTTGTGAACACAAACCACCTGGCACAAGCTACTGTGCAAGTCCAGAAGAGAGTTTAAATCAGTAATCAGGTAATAATTTCCTCAATACAGCCATAGCACAGGTAGTCCTTGACTTACAACCAAAACTGAGTCCCAAATATCTGCTATTAAGTGTAACAGTTGTTAAGTGAGGTTTTTTTCCATTTTATGATCTTTCTTGTGACATTGTTAAGTTAGTAACATGGTTGTAAAATGAATCTGCCTTCCCCACTGACTTTGCTTGTCAGAAGGTTGCAAAAGGGGATCACATGACCCCTGGACACTGCAACCGTCATAAATATGAACCAGTTGTCAGGTTTCCAAAATTTGATCACGTGACCATGGGAATGCTGCAATCGTTGTAAGCGTGGGGAAACAGTCATAAGTCACTTTTTTCAGTGCCATTGTAACTTTAAACAGTCACTAAATGAATGATTGTAAGGCGAGGACTACCTATAGTCTTTTCCCCGATTACCAACTAATGGCCAATCAGCTAAGTTGCATGAAAAAATAAGCAGGATTTCTCCTCGTCCCCAGCATCCAATGACCACCACAGGATGAATACAGATAGTCCTCGACTTACGACCATAATTGAGCCCAAAATTTCTGATGCTAAATGAGACAGCTGTTAAGTGAGTTTTGCCCCATTTTACGACTTTTCTTGCCACAGTTGTTAAGTGAATCACTGCATTTGCTAAGTTAGTAACATATTTGTAAAGTGAATCTAGCTTCCCCGTTGACTTTGTTTGTCAGAAAGTAACAAAAGGTGATGACATGATTTGAGGACATTGCGATGGTCATAAATATGAGTTAATTACCAAGCATCCAAATTTTGATCACCTGACCATGGGGAGGCTGCAATAGTCGTAAATGTGAAAAATGATCATAAGTCATTTCTTATAAGTGACATTGCAATTTTGAGTGCTCATTAAATAAACAGTTGTAAGTCGAGGACTACCTGCATGTGCTATAGTGCAGACTGACCAATGAATGATTGTAAAAAAATGGCCAATTGGCAGTTTTACAGTTTTACACACCTATTTTCAGTTGGCGTAGAAAAAAAAAACAGGAGCTGTTTCAGCTTTTAATGATCGAATCCATTTTGACCACCACAGGTGAGGAAAACTTGAACTTCACAGAGAACAGTAAAGGAATGAACTTACCTGGATCACTGATAAATTCATTCAAGGTTTGCCAGGTCTTTTGATCTGAAGCGAAGGTGCCGTTGATGGATTCGAATTCTGTGTAATCTCGGACACATTTGTTCCTGAGGTTTCCCATGAAAAGCTGGAGTCCTATGAGGGCGAAAACACTCAAGCAAAAAACGGTCAGGATCATCACATCTGCAAGTTTCCTAACTGACTGGATAAGGGCTCCAACGATGGTCTTCAAACCTAAGGAGACAACCATGAAAAGTTTAAGAGGCTGGCACTTGGAAGCAGCTACCATATGAATTACACAGACATGAATTAAGTGACTACATATAAGACACCGTTAAGATATTTAAATTTAGTAGCTGGAGTTGTGCAGTGAGCCAGAACACACAGTTAGAGTTGATTGATTGGAGAGGGGTGGTTCCCGTGTGAAGCAATCTGCGCTGTGATTGGTTGCTATGGGTGTGAAGAGGGAATTTCCCTTTTTCCCGCCTTTTTTCTTCTGTGTATGCCCTAATGATTTACCTCATGATGCTTCTGCTGTAAATTGATTTACCTCATGATGCTCCTATGCTGACTATTTAGTTTAATGTAAATATTGATGTAAAATTTTCAAAAAATACAGGTTCTTGTCAGCGCCTCTGACTCCATTTGGGACAACTGCTGCACAATTCCCTGACAGACACTCATCCCAAACATTTCCCACTTTCAAATTTATAGATAGTATGGCTATGCAATGTTTCAGATTCAAAAGCAATACAACACCTCAAAGCATGTAGGACAAGAACATAGCATCTGTCTGCAATTCCTTAAAGCAGGGTTCTTCAAACTTGGCCCTTTTATGACTTGTGGACTTCAATTCCCAGAATTCCTCAGCCAGGCACACAGGCTGAGGAATTCTGGGAGTTGAAGTCCACAAATCATAAAAGGGCCAAGTTTGAAGAACCCTGCCTTAAAGCAACTGCATTTTTCCTTACAGAGCAAAAGAGATCCCCAATAAAACAATTCCCACCACTGCCACTACTAATGAAAGATTTCAAGTACCAAGCCTAGACAAAACACTTTGAAATTATGGCAATAAAAAACAGTACAACAAAGTTAGGTGAGGAATCCAATTGCTTTATGACTGACTTGCCCTGATTTTTTTTTTCTTCAAAGGGGCATCTTCTAACAGGCTCTGATTGTTAAAAGTAGTTTCTTCATATCTGCAGAAGCCACTTCCATTAAACCTAAGGAACTAATTAAGATGGTCCAGACCTGCTTTAATGGCCTTCAGGATGAACCTGGCTGTACAAAGGACTTTGCTATACCAAGGTAGATTACCCTGCTTTGTCAGATGAATTTCTTTCCTAAGGAAAGTCCACAGGCTTAGTGGCTATTTATATCTATTAATCAATTTTGCCTTGTATTCCTGACCTATTTCAAAGAAGATAAAAGGTAAGAAAATGGCATTGTGGAATTTCTTTCCGATTCTTTTTCCAATCAAATCCTAGAAACATTAAGATTTGCAATTCTGGATCGACAGGATTCCACAATTCAGTGTTCAAGGTAAATACTGAATTTATTTATTTTATTTTTAATTGACTTTTTAAAAATCTATTTTAATCTATTTTTTAAAAATGTTTATATATATATATATATATATATATATATATATATATATATATATATATATATATATATATATATATATATATATATTCTTTATTTATTTATTTATATTTCTAAACCACTCATTTCCCTCTGGGTGATATACAATATAATTAATAAATAAACAACATATAAAATTAGCATTAAAAGTCATTATTATTAAATATTATTATTAACCACTTTACACCACCCAGAATCACTTCTTGTGAGTGGGCAAATACATTCAATATACATTCGATATGCATCCAAGTCTGGCTATGTGATGGAGAATGACATAGCTATTTTTTTTTCATAATTCATTGCCATGCACAACTCTTATATTCTTTAAATGAGAGTTCAAAGTGGCAGTTTTGGGGAGAAAAACCTGATTTTCTGAAAGTTTGTTGTGGAGTATAAAGGAAGAAGATAAATAATAGAAATATGAAGCTAGTTCACTGCAGTTAACCATTTTGCTTGTACGGAGACCAAAATTTCCATTGCTAAGCAAGACAGTTGTTAAGCGAGTCTTGTCTCAATTTACGACCTTTCTTGCCACAGTTGTTAAGAAAATCGCTGCAGTTGTTAAGTTAGTAACCCAGCTGTTAAGTGAATCTGGCTTTTCCATTGACATCGCTTGTCAGAAGCTCACAAAAGGTGACACTGCAACTGTCACAAATATGAGTCAGTTGTCAAGCGTCTGAATTTTGATGAAATGATCATGGGGATGCTACAAAGATCATAAGTGTGAAAATGGACTTTAGTTACTTTTTTCTCTGCCATTGTAACTTCTAACACACACTATATGAATGGTTGTAAATTGAGGACTAACTATATTATCAATCCAATATCTTATGCATTTCTGGCTCTTTGCAGCTATAATGCTGTAAATGAGCCCTTCACAATTTGGCTTCAACAAACATTGATCCATGGTAACCTGGGAATTATAGACAATCATAGGAATTTTGAAAAACTATTGTGGATTGAAAATTAGATTTTTCTGCATGTAAGGCACCTACCATGCTTTTGAGTTTTTTTCTTTTTCTGCAATTAGCCTGATTTTCAAAAAGCAGGTAAGCTTAATATACTTAAAACTAAAAAGGACAGAAAAAAAAATTTCAACCTTCCAAAACACTCATATAAAAAAAGTGGGAAAAACCGTGAAAACCTGTCACTAAAATAATGAGTATGGCTCACAATGTTAAAAGGAAGGAAAAAAATGTTAGAAGTGTCTTCCCAATCACTGGAAAAAACTGTCTTAAAGGATTTTTTTTTCTTACAGAAGATCACAGCATTAAGGTCATTATAAAAAGCTGCCAGATCAGTTTTCTAATGAATTTTAATTGAACAGCATGAAAATAGAGATGCCAGAATAGTTATTAAGTGGGAAGCTTTTCAGACACAATTTCTAAAGTTTTGACCAGTTGGGGATTTCTCCTGTTGCAGTTATGAAACAGGGGCTGTTCTTCAGCCTTGGTAATCCCTTGCTATTTATCTTTTGGGATATGTCATGCTAATAGAAAATAAATATTCTTAGCTTATGATTGAACTGGTGCTCTCTGAGCTTGATTGTTTTCCTGCAGACATTTTATTACCCAACTAGGTAACAACATCAATGCTAGAAAGGAGGGGGGGTTGCTCTGTTTATATACTAGTGATTTGCCCTGTCATTGTTCTTGATCGTTCCTTAATTAAACAGTTGTTTACTGTTAGTTTGTTTGTCTCCATTGGTAGTTCCTTGATTGGGATATTGTTTACTTCTCTAATGTTAATCTTGGTATTAACTTCTGCTCATCTGGGTATAGATTGCTGGTATGGAGGAGATTTGATCTTTTTGTTTCCTTTTTACCTTTTTGACTGTATCATTTGAATGATGTGAAGATGTTGTTTCTCTCTGTGTGCCTATTGATGGCTGATTTATCTGAGTGCCAGTTTTCAGGAATTCTCTGGCATTTTTGTGAATTTGAAGAAAATAAATAAATAAGGGCGCCTCCCTCCTTTCTACCTGTGATGATGGTACCTAGATTGTTAATGAAACATCTGCAAGAAAACCACAAAGCTCAGAGAGCAACAAGAACCCCAGGGTAGTTGCCAGACTGCCAAGTCTAGCAAATAAAAAAAAAAAGGGCATCTCGGAGGATAGTAAGAATAGCAAGATACAAGAACTCATATTGGATTGTTCTTTTCAAGATCACATTCCTGAATCTAAGGTTGGAATAGAGAATCTGAAAAAAATCACATGGGCTAAGATGACTCTAATGGAACCAGAGATTGGAGCAGGGACAGAGAAGCATCAATCTGCAATTAGTGGCCAACTATTCAACTACAAATTACTAGACTGAGCTTTTTCTCAGTTGAACCTCAACACTGTACAAGCCGGGAACAGAATTTCTTAATGCAAATCACATAAAAGTCTGCTAATTACATTTTGTGTCTCTGCCTCTGTCTCTCCATTTTGCTTACTGTAGCTTTCTACCATTAGCCTATTCGCTTTCCACCATTAGCCTATTCTCTGAAGAATTAATGTTGTACAGAAAAGGCTCAAATCTCATGAAGTGGTTTTTGATCAACCTAATCCACCTACAACAAGGCTGTAGTCAGATGCAACTGAAAAAAAATGCAACTGAAATGAACTCATTGGAATTTTATAAATATTTTCCTTCTTTCTTGGATTGACTAGCTATATGAGTGTCAATAAAATAGGCTGTAAACTTATAACTGTGACCCCTCCGTTTCTTTTCAAAGGAAACTTACTGCATGCATTTTGTCAACTCTTACATTACTTTTATCACTTGAGTCATAAGCCAAATCTGTTACTAACATTTGCAAATAGTCATTGCCACTTGCTGAATACAGCAAGTAAAGCAGCTTTTAAGCATTTAAGGATTAAAAGAATGATGCCATCATTACAAAAACAACCTTTAAAAAAAATCAGTGTAGAGGCTTAGTAAGTACATTTTTTAAAATAAAACCTCACAAGAACTAACAGTTAGGTTTTGAAAGATGTACTGCAATACTTCTACTTTTTCAGTTTTGGAGGTTTATATAGATAGATAATCCTTACATATTTTTTCTTTCATGTTTAATCTTCTGAAACATCATAAAATTCCATTTTGATATTCATTCTGTCCTCCCATATATAGTTGTTGTTGTTAATTGCGAAGTCGTGTCCGATCCATCGCGACCCCATGGACAACGTTCCTCCAGGTCTTCCTGTCCTCTACCATCTTCTGGAGTCCATTTAAGTTCACACCTACTGCTTCAGTGACTCCATCCAGCCATCTCATTCTCTGTCGTCCCCTTCTTCTATTGCCCTCAATCTTTCCCAGCATTAGGCCCTTCTCCAGTGAATCCTTCCTTCTCATTAGGTGGCCAAAGTATTTGAGTTTCAACTTCAGGATCTGGCCTTCTAAAGAGCAGTCGGGGTTGATCTCTTCTAGGACTGACCGGTTTGAACGCCTTGCAGTCCAAGGGACTCGCAGGAGTCTTCTCCAGCACCATAGTTCAAAGGCCTCAATTCTTTGGCGCTCAGCCTTCCTTATGGTCCAACTTTCACAGCCATACATTGCAACTGGGAAAACCATGGCCTGGACTATACTATACTATACTATACT